ACAGCCATACTGGTGGGTCCCCACTGAACATCCTATGAAAAAGGGAACACCAGGTGAACAAAATGAGGTAGATTTTTGGACATACGGGCCGTTTTAGAAAGTTCTCCAGAACGTGTTAATGCAAGTATAAGGTGCAGAGCCATGTGAACAACACGGATTCCATTTTTGTACATATTTAAATACATATAGAGCTGTGCTGGTAAGTATTTCAAAACATTTTCTGGAGGAGAGTATAAGAAACTGAGGGCAAGTGGTTGTCTTTGGTGAGAGAGACTACGTAAAGAGAGGGAAAGAGGTCGCACCGTTTAATGTCATAGAGGCTATACCATTTAATGCTTCTTAACTTTTTTTTTAAGTTTATCTATTTACTTTGAGAGAGAGAGAGAGAGAGCACCCAGGGAAGGGGTAGAGAGAGAGGATCCCAAGCAGACTCAGCGTTGTTGGCACAAAGCCCGACTCAGGGCTCCATCTGAAGAACTGTGAGATCATGACCTGAGCCGAAATCAACAGGCGGATGCTTAACTGACTGAGCCACCGGGGCTCCCCTCTTTTTAACTTTGTAATTTATTCAAGCGACAAACAATAATTGAGCACCTACTAATGTCAGGCACTGGCCTAGGCGCTAAGGAAATAATGCAGGAGGCAGTTAAAGCTGAGTGCTATTAGCATGGGCTCCTCAGCCGCACTGTTTGAATCCTGGCTCCCCTCTTAGAAGCTGGGACACCACAGTTAAATCACTTAACCTTTCTCTCCGTTGCTTCATTCGTGAAGTATGGACTAACAGTTCTTATCTCACAGGACTGCTGGAAGAATTAAATGTGATAATACACGTAAAGTGCTTAGCCCCGTGTTAGGTATTTGGCACACATTCCTTAATTGTTAGTGCTAAAAAAAAAGGGAGCGAGAAGAGACCCAGTCCCCATCCTCCATCCAGAACACCCAGTATAGTGGGTGACTGAAATGGAGAGGAGGAGTTGGTTACTGGGAATGAGGGGCCAGGGGGCTGGATGAGCCACCCAGGCAGATGCTGGCACCACCCAGTGGGAGGGCAGGGCTTGAGGGCCTTCTTGCCCCGAGGACGAGGACGGAAGAGTGGAGGGAAGTGCAGCCTTCAGCTGAGATGGCCTCAGGACACTTTGGGAGGATCCTGGGAGATGCATTCAGTGCAGGCAGGCTCTGCCAGGCAAGCTGTCCTAGGACCGCTGGAGGCACCCTGGGTGCCTGGTCTGGAGCAGAAGCAGGAGTCTGAGAAGTGAGCCGAGGAAGCCCAAGAAGGGGGCTAATCAGGGAGAGCCAGAGGCCAGGAAGCATTCCAGAGAACTGCGGAGGGGAGGGTGAGGCGGTGGGGAAGAGGTGTAGGGATCAAGCAGGGGAGCCAATTATGAACAACTTTGCTCAAAGGAATTATGGGAGCACCACTGTTTCGGCCCGTAGTTTTTCTCTTCTTTTTCTGCATTAAGTACACGGAACTTCTGTGGTATCTTCAGATGTTTCAGGTTTCTAGAGTCCTTAGGATTCATCCTTTTTGTTATACTCGTCATGCCTAATGTTTGAGGAAGAGGGGCTCGAACTTTGGGGGTCAGCCGGCAGGTGGCTGGGTGGTCCCTGGGTCACGCCCTTGCTTCTGAACCTCCCCGGGTTGGATTTTTGCCCCACTCCATATTTGCGGCTCACTCCAGTCTTCCGTGACTCCCAGGTGGCTGAGCGGGGTGACTGGCAGGGGCAATCTGGCCAATGTCAACTTAAAGGGCTTATAAGAGAAAAATATTCTTGGCACAGAAGACATATCTCAAGTTGGTGGAAGGCTTGTCCTCCTGGAGAGGAAAGAGCTGCCTCAGTTTTCCACTAATGCTTACAGTCAGTAAGTAGAGCCCTAAATATTCGCTAAAGGAGCAAATGCGTGGTCCCCCTGAGTCTGTTTCCATCTGTAGGTCCCAGCCTTTGAGGTATGGACTGGAGAGGACAGGACAGGCTCCTCGGTGTGCCCCCCAACTAACGATACTCCCAGCTCTAAAACTGGAACCGATTAAGGGGTCGGAAGTTGGAAAAACATGACAGTAAATAAAAAATGAGGCGGCGGGTCCAGCTCTAGTTGGTCAGCAACATCTTAATCTATCCTCTCCTCATGGAAACAACAAATGCACTAATTAGCCTTCTATATTTTGGTGGTTATCTTCCCTCCATGATTCCCCAAACTGTACTCTCCAATTACAATCTAAGTTTTCTGGAGTTCTTTTCTCACCTCCTCTGGTTCATTTTTCATCTCCACTGGCACCAGAGTTTATTTACTTTTTATCGTATTTTCCCCAAATGTTTTATTTTCCAGTGGTGAAAACATGTAACAGCCTCACCATTTTACATTGTCATGGAAGCACTAATCAATTGCCTTGATTACATCTTTTTTGTGAAAAAGCGATCTGACAAAATGTTATTATTAGGTGCTTGCATTTTAAGTACATTTTTTATCCTGTTTTTGAGTGCACCCACATGCTTTTACATTTTAATTTTTAAAAATAGGGATTAAAAATTCTTTTAACTTTGACATTAAAAAACCCCAGGCCACGACCAATAATAGTTTTAACCTTATCTAACTAAGATGTGATTGAAAACGGATAGAAAAGTAAAACTTCCAAATCCCTAGAGGGGGTATCACACCTTACAGATCCCTGCCTAGATGTACGCTGTAACACAGGCAAAGAACCACTAGGTGGCTCTGTCATTTTTAGGTAAAACTAAAGTCCGCAGAAGATCATGCATAATTAAGGAACAAAATCTCTGGTAGGCAGAACCTCTCATCAAAGCAAGAGATGATAATTTGCAATCATGGCCTCTTACTCAGAAATAATTTGGAGCTATTGGGTTAAGAATTAGACTAAAACAACAACAAGAACAACAACAACAGCCCTGCAAAACTGCAAAGTCTGTACACATAAGCAATTTGTTAAAAAAAAAAGGGAGGGTATGATAGCCTTAAGGACATCAATGACTAAAGGGGAGATGGTTACAAATGTTTTCTAATTTACTGTCATCTCAGTTTCTAGAGTTTCTTTTGGACTTTCTCTCTCTCTCTCTCTCTCTCCCTTTTTTTAGATCTTTAAACTTAAGAACAAATATTAAATTGAGCCTTATAACTCATTAAAAATTGCCTTAAAATTTCCTGGGTTATAGTTGTCATCTTTATTAACATCCCAAAAGAAATAAAACAACTTTGTTTTGTACTATTGGGAAAGGAGAAAACACACACACGTTGTTCTTCTCTAAGAAAAATTTGGATCAAATTTAGATCCTTAAATCAAAATACAATTAAACAAACACTATTCCATTCTATAGCATTTGCCAAGAGATTAAAAGAAACAGTGTGCTGAATTTAGAGGTCAGAATAACTCTTTTCTGAGTCCAGAAAAGATGAAGAAAGTAGTTACTTGGAACTGTGGTTTGCATTTTAGGTATTAAATTTACTAGTTAAGTATCTCTGGATATCATTTTTTAAGAAATGAGATAACAGATGATGATAACGTTCTGTAAAGTACATAACTAACTTTATATCATGAAAATAAGAGTGGAGTAGAGGGGGGTGGATTTCCAAACTATTAAATATTCTGAACTGTCAGTCTGCAATGGGCAAACAAAAAACTTCCCCCCACCCCTCTCCCTTAAATGCGAATCTCAGACTTGTCACTACCTAGTAAGAACATATTTAGGAATGATTTTAATTGTAAAAGAAACAGTTTTCTTATTGTTGTTCGGAGCCAATAACTAATGACTGTGTGACATGTGGGGTTGCCACAGTATCTTACTAGTTTTGCTTGTTTGTTTGTTTGTTTTTGTTTTTTTTTTCCCGGGCAGGAACCACATTTCAAAACTTACAGAAGTAGAAAGCAAGTCCTGTACCATAATTCGTTAAGACCGTTTTTGTAAATGAGCGCTTCTTGCACAGTTTAAATTACAGTTGGCTTTAAAATGCTAATTCCGAACCCACTTATTTAAATGTCTCTGAAAACATACACCCTTCTGTTTTTGAAGAAAACAAATCGCACCAAAGGACTGCACAAACCGGACTTAAAATGAACAAATACTTCCCGAATGTGAACGACATATAGTTATGTGTTTAGAGATATGGTTAGAAGAATTAAAAACCAATTTCAGTCCCTCCCATCACAGAATCCCCTAGGAGATGGGGACACTCCAAGGATGCCCGTCACTAAAATCTACCGTAAGCACCCAAAGAGTTGTAAATCGCGTCTGTTCTTTTCGACTGGAAGCCGATCGGTTGAGACCGGCCGTGAATCCTGGAACTCAATCACAAAGGGTGCAGAAGCTCGAGGTAGAAAACCAAAGGGGGCTAAGCAGGTGGTCTGAGTGGCCACCCAAACTCATCTTGGGCACTTTTTAGAAAACTGCTGTACTGTTTGGGTTACCTTCTCCTGGTTTCCACATTCGTCCTTTTATCCCACCCCTGTGCTAAGAACAAATCGGCTGGCAGTGGGGTGCTTTTCGCCCTCAACCTGGAGGCGCGGGCCTGCGCCAGCCTCCCCCGGGCTCCCGGGCTCCCGGGCCCGCCGAGGAGGGGCTCCAGGGGCTCCAGGGGCGGGGTGGGCGG